TAACATTTTAACAACATTTACATATAATATTTAATGACAGTAATTCACTTATTACTAGTGTTACCAGACATCCGTATTTAATACAGTCAGTCAGTACTTTATAGGGTCTATCCGTGTTCATACCATACTTAGAAAAAATAAACAGTCTGTACTTTTCAAATGATCGCTCAGTTAATAGTTAATCATAACCACTTAGATTTAAATCTGACAAAACTGCTAAATTTTCTATAATAATTATTGTATTTGTTGGCTAGGTGACAACATTGTATATGCAAATGTAACAACTGTTGTTTAGAGAACATGTGCACATTCATTAGAATAGTTTTTTTAAATTCAATAATACTTATTGCATAAGCAGTAAAATAGGTTTTTTATATTTAAAATTTTAATCTGCGCACTAAAGTGTAAATTGAAACTTTATAGTATATGCCTACATTTACTAGATTAAAAAATATGAATAAATTCCTATTATTTTGCCTTGCTGTCCAAGTACTTTTAATGCTAATTTGTCTGTACTTTGCCTTCAATTATGGTAACCCCATTATTACATTTAATTATAAAAATTATATTTGCATTATATTCAATAATGGAGAAGTTTTTTAACTGGCATAGAGATAACTTCATTAAATCAATATCTAAATTTTATATCACATATAAAATTATATTATTATATTACATGTGGTAATATAAGTGATAGAATACATCCTGTATGTTCATTTTCATTCAATCATTTTTCTACAAACAATTCAAAAAAAGTTAGTTTCTTAATCACATAAAATTAAAGCATAACAGAAGCTAACAAATATTTTCATTATATTTGTAGACCATGTAATTAATTGTGAATATCCAATTATTTCAATATTGTTTACTATGAAATAAAGAATCCTTTCTTTGATACAATAAATACATTAGTTTCATCAAGTATTACTTTGAAAAAAATCAATAGAAAACAAGAAATATTAATGTATGTAATTTAAATTCCAAATAAATTACCAGAAAACTTAAAGTAAAATAATCTTGTTTTAAACAAATTTTGTTGAATAAGTAATCTTTATGTTTATAAACAGATTTACAAATTTCATTATCAAGACCATTGTTTTACAAAATATATTTCTAACAAATCTGGAATCACAATAAATTTATAACTACTGAATAAATTATTTAAAGTGTAATTTTAAATCATCGGAAAATATATATATATTTTTAATACATTATAAAATCAATTATAAATTTTGGTAACAGATGTTATCTGTTAAAGATAACATTTATTTATTGTGCTTACTAAACAAACAGCTTTTGGATCACAAGTATTATTATTATCTGAAAATAATATTAGTTTATAACATTATACAGTTGACATTAAAAAATTCTACTGGTAATTACATTAAAGTCTAGACATGTGATGTCTTAAAAAAGATCATTTGATTGATGATAAAAAACTTTTAATTCTTAAACTTACTGAAAATATAGACCTCTCTTTCAATCTATTTATTTACGTTCTCTCTAAGTAAATATTGAAGAATCGTTTATGTGAAAATCTTAATTTAGAATTTTCTATCATATTAAAGCATATTCTTAACTAGTAAGTGCATATCCTCTTGTAAAATTACTATTATCCTTTTAATAAAATAATCAAAATATTTATTTATTTTTAAAAGTAACATATTTAATCATACGTTATTCAAAATATAAATTAACATTATTATAATCAGAAATTACCAAAACAGATAATGTAAACTAACATAAGTACACTGTAACATGAATATTGAATAAAATGAAAGATTAATTTTATCTAGCATACGTAACAAAGCATGTAAAATTGATATTTATCAACTGATAAAGTTCATCTATTTTGTTTTATTTACATATAATAAAACAACAAAAACATAGCAGATTAGATATAAATTTATATCAAAAATAAAATGTAACGACAGAAATTTTTAATCACTTTAATAACTGCATACTAAGTATAAAAATTTTATTCTAGGCTAATGAGGGAATTCAAAATTTCTGAATTAAATTATTATATATACAGAGTTAAAGTAAAGAAAATAAAAATTAAATATTAATGAGAAAAGCTTATCTTTTTTGGCAATATTGTGAGAGATGATGTCAAGCAACTTAATTTACAATTGTAATCTCCTTTTAATGTATTTTAACAAGTGATAATATTTTGAAGCTTACTTTGTTCTATCTAGAATTTCAAGCAATCTAGAACAATATATTTTTTACAAATTTTATAAAAGCTGGTAATTGTCTTCATATTTGAATGAGTTAATGATGTTTGCCTAAAAATGTTTTTATAAAAATTAAATTATTATTCTTATAAGATAAATAAAATATTGTCCATTTTTTTATCATCTATTTTATGGAAATAGATAATAAACATATCAACATTCAGTAACATTTCATCACGGATATGCATAAAGAAAATAAAATAAATTTGATGCATAAGTGTTCAAAGCAAATGCCAGCAGACATACTAACTTAAGAATCTGTACTGACATTGAAGTGTTAAGACTTAAAAATTCATACGTCAGCACATAATTACATGCCAGTGGTACACCCAAGTTGTATATATGATCTCAATTGTTCCCATCAAGAATGGTATTCTATTGATATTTCTGATATGTAATTTATTGATTTTATCTTTGTATAATTCATAATAAAGCATATTACAAAAACTAGAAGACAGAATAATTCCTTTAACATAAATAATGATATCTGTGTAAAAACGTTTTTATGAAAACTAAAATATTCTTCTTATAGGATAAATAAAATATTGTTCTGTTTTATTATCTATTTTATAAAAGTCAATTTATGATCAACAGTCAATTTTGTAATTAGTTTATTTCCTTAATCTGTGAAAATAAAAAAATATTTATTAAAAGATATTTTGTAAGTCCTTGATAGTTTGATATTTTTATGAATTTTATCTTCTAACTTACATTAACTAAAAATGTAATTTAAATTAAGTGTACAGATTGGTTACCTAATTAATTAAAAATGCAAGTTTAAGTTTCAAATCCAACATATACTAAATTTTTCCAAAATCAAAAAACATACTGCTCAGAACAATTAGGAAATATTGAAAAACCAGATTTGCTTTATAGAAAAATCAGTGTTGGCACCGATTTTAATATTTTATAGTTTATGTTTGATGTTTTTCATACTAAATAATCAAACTTCACAATAACCTTATATTTTTTTATGTCAGATAAATTTCTGTTTTCACAGTTGAAAAACAGTATACATGCTATTAATTTGTCTGAGATCACACCATAAATAACATTTTATTTTTCGTTATTTACCTGACCATTACATAAAACAAAATTATCAATTTCAGTAAAATATTAAATTAATTATTTTAAGCAGTCTAGTCATTACTCTAGATAGATAACAAAATATAAACCTAATTTAAATCAGTTATTTTAAAGAATTAGTATATATCAAGTTCTATTTTTATGGTATTGTTCTAAAAGATTTATGTGAAGAAAACCTAAATAAAAATTATTTTCTTCCAGTTACTTGAATTAGAAACTAACAAATCAAATGAGACATATTTATGATCCTATAATTCCTTCTAATAATTTTAAAAATTACTTTTACTGCACTTCAATTATGTTACAGTATTTAGTCTTGAAATTTAAATGGAACTAATAATAAATATATAATTAATGAAACCCTACAAATTTCTCTATTAATAAACAAATTTGTAAATCAAAACTAATGATTTTACTAAAATTTTTCATCTTTAAAGTCAAGATTTATTTTAAAGAAAAATATAATCAATTTATTTGTATAATTTTCAAATAAAAATATACAATAATTCATTAAAAGAAAAATTGCATTTAAATCTTCAGTTCTTTTGATTTTTAGATTAATAAAAAACACCTAAGTACACTTAAAATAGTAAACAAGTTTTCAATTTTAAAATATCAACCGGAAGCAAACCTGCTTAGCTACGGAGTAAAGCAGTGAAGCCAACAAGCTTGAGAAATTGTGTTTCATTCTCGATTAAATTTTCACTTTAATTTCTGTTTAATATCGAAAATATCTTGGCAGAATATTTTAAATTGTAACCAATTCAAAAATGCTATCAAGTACGATTTAATTTCATCTAAAAATAAACAAACAGAAATAAAATAAAATAAAAAACCATCTACAAATGTTCCACATGCATTGTATTTTCGTAAATCATAAAAAATTTTCATCTTAAATAAATTTAACACATATTAATCAGAATAAACATCTGCCATGTACAAATCACACTAGTGTAATTGTTATTATTAATAGAATATTATTATTAAGGAACAATTTTAAGGCGGGCCCTTTGATCAGGAAGATGCAAGAATGTCGGTCGAGGTGGTTCGGCCACATAGAGCAACGAAGCAAAGATTACGTCGGAAAGAGGGTCGGAAAACCGGTAGTAAAAGAGGAAGACCAAAGCCGCATCGGAAAGATAAGGCGGAGGAAGACTCAAATCAGAGGGGAGTTAAGAGAGAAGAAGCCCTCGATAGGAAGAAATGGAGGAAACGTATTAAAGGAAACGCCGACCCCATATAAACATGGGAAAAGGCAATGATGATGATTATTATTAATTTACCATCATGTAAGTGACTTTCATATTACAATTAACCCATTTTTTTTCCTATAAATTTGAATATTTTATGATTCGGCGCTTGACCGATTCTATTGAAAAAGGGATTAAAGTAAATGATACAGGCGCTTGTTTTTTAATATATTTAATGATTTGACATTACGAAACCCGATAACATCCATTTTGGATTTCGTTTAATTACTAAAGAAAAAAATAAAAATAAAAATATTTAGAAAAATAAACGATTTAAAGAGGTCGAATTTACAAAAAAATGAATGAAATAATTAAGAAAAAAATCAATGGGTGAAAAGAGATGAAATCAATTAAAGATCGGAAATAAAAATGGATTTATTTCTTTTTCTATCGTTATATATATAATTTTTCTTTCTTATATACTTACATTTTATACGATAAATGAAAGATAAATGTATAGCAAAACTGGAATTTGGAATGTTAAATCGACGATTCCGATTAGAACATTAGAGTAACATACGGGCATCGATGTCACGCAATTGACGTTGAATGGCGCTAGCGGCAAAAGTGGCAGCTATTTAATAACTCTTTCGAGTATATTTAGAAATTACGTCTTTAACGATAAATAT